CGTTTCGCGCCTGAGTTCAGCGAGGGCTGTGAAAGCACTCAGATATCGGAATGGCAACTGCTTTGATGATGCTACTTCTCCCTATAAAGTTAGGGAAATGCACGACATTTTAACTACACAAGGTGACCAAATCAAGGCCAATCGCTAAAAAATGACTCACTCTAGCCGTTAGCTTTCGAATCACTTTATTTATGTGCTCTTCATCGATGTTCACCAGAAGCAGATTACGGAGGTTACGGAGCATTGCCATGTACGGAAGTTTTCCAGAGTCTGTTAGAACAAACACCGAAAAATCAATTTAACGAAGGCCAGTCGCATCAACACCATAAATATAATGAACAAAGGATGATTATTGAAAAGAAGTGAATTAACAAAAAAGTCCGCCACCTCATGGAAGCTCCAATATGGCTAAATCAAAAATATACCTATTAGACTATGCCATGCATCAAGTTGTGCCCACTGAGGAGTCTTCGAAAGTTCCGTCTCCCAAGTAAAAGGTACAGGCAAACGCATACGTGTGCCCGAAAGCTCAGGGTTCCAGTCACCTGGCAACCCTAGTTTGAGGTATTCCGAAGCATCAGTCGGGTATTTTTTTCCGAGAAGACACATAACGTGGTACACTGGATCAGAAATGTGCAAATCTCGAATCATTTTCTTCAGAGTAGGTGGCATAGGTGTCATCTCAGCGTCTTCCTTATTTTTTTTTCTGTTAGATGCGCCACTTTTTTCTCTGTTGTATTTAGCTACAAAAATCAAGGTCATGAAAGAGCAGAACCTACCAAGCTGATATTCATCAAACTCGCGAAATTTTTCAACCATTACTCGCCTTAAAGCACGAGGCAAGGAACCGTGATGGTCGCTCGAATGAAAAAATGTCTGAAAATCACTTAAATGTATTAACAAACCTTGTATATTTCAGCAACCTTTAACCAGTCCGAAGGAAGATTGACAGCAGCAGAAAAATATTTGGACAAATACGGTCTACAAACTGCAGAAGAACTAGCAAAGGCCAAAATAAAATTCGTGGTATATCTTATATTCAGCTCTCTACGACAGAAAACAGCAGTCTAAATGTTAATTTCATATATCAGCCCACCTTAAGTATGAATTCGGGATCGAGTTCCGCAACGGCTTCAAGCAAACGGAGGAATGACAGTCTGCAACTCTCATTTGAAGGCGAATTATTGGGATTTAGTGACCCCATAACGTAGCAAACCAGATTAAACTATTACATTATGACAAAACCAAGTTCAATACACATACTTTTGCTTTGTCAACGTCAACATAGGAATTGGCTTGATATTCAGGGAAGATACTTGGAGGTTGTTTGTTTCTTTCTGGAGTGCCAAGGGCGATATTATCATAGCCCTGTAAATCGACAACAGTATGCCTCATTAGAGCAGAAAAATTCTTTTCAAGATCTAATGCTTCCGCTTCTTTTTCAGATATCTTGCACAGAGTGTTCTTCTCAGTTTCATCATCCTGCGTGACAGAGGAGAAAGAGAAGCCTCTGGCGCCAAAAGACGCATTTAACAAACGATTTTCAGTTGAAACCAAACTAGACGTTTTCATGTTCTACAATTCGCACGAAGAAATTGAAAAATCAGTGCGAGAGACGCCTATATAAACGTCTGGCAAGGAATCAACTGATTAAAACACGGCTAGATGAAAAAATATTTGCACTGATTCATCAATCATAGCTTTTTTACTCCCATAATAATACTCATAAAACTTTAATCACATTCGAAAGAAAATTTATTATTCTTTAAAAAAGGACAAGCAAACACGATTACCACCTTGCATCAATTGTTATGACAACTAAATTTAAGATGATTTTTTTTAACATATACGCAAAATTAATCATTATTTTATTCGCTTTTGGTAGTGCACTCAATTGGCAAATATTTGCAGTGTATGAGTGTGAGTCTGTGAGCGAGTAACTGTTCTGGTATCGTCTTTATTTTTACCTTTATGGACCTCCTTTGGAAGTTCTTCCTGGAATGACTCTGATAAAACAACCAATTTACTTTATTTCTTCAATTTTTTTACGCGTCAGCATTGCAAATCTCTGAAGACTTTAGAATTCCCTTTCACTCACGTGCACGCTTGGCCAACGAAGTTAACGCTTATAACCAATTAGGTGCTATTTATGCCAGTACCCCACTCATTCCAGTTCAAAACCCCGTTATAATATTTCAGAATTTAGATTTTGATTTACGAATATAGTGAGCCACATCTATTGGTCATTATTATATGAGAGTAAATAACCTGACACAGCTGATAGAGTGCTCGGATTCAAGCACCGGACAGCTATTCTGTTCTCATAAGTTTCTGTTATATTTGCACCGAGATACACTCCGACTGCTATCTAGGTTAAGTACAGATTAGAATTACTTAGGACTAAAAGCTACGCATGTTTTTCCCTAAAACGCAAACAAGCCAAAAATAAGATTTGATTTAATGATATGGGCATGCAAATTAGTTCAAAGGTTAGCGCATGTACAAGTTTCATTCGATTTGATCAAGATAATCATCTCCATTTTGAGAAACCCGCGGTGGAGCATCCATCTCTGAGTCAGAGGCCACAGCAGAAGAGGAAGCAGTCGATCCAGCACTAGACGGGTCGGACAACGATGAAGTGAAAGTGGACGAGGAAGAAGCAGAAGTAGGCAGGTCAGAATGATCTGCCCCCACCATTATGGAGGATCGATCGTGAACAGGTTGCGGTATTTCTCGAAAGCGGTGGTCATAATATTCTTCCCCATCATTATCCAGGAAAGATGTCACGGAGTCAGGAAATCCGTCACGGGTAACCATAGCGAGTCGGAGATTGGAAGCATCATTTGATGTCAAGATAGACGAATGCTAGTTGTTGAAGCAAGGACACAAATTCCAAGACGTTTAATTATAGACATATAATATTTAAGTGAGACGGGCAAATAAAAGGAGTAAAATTGTCAGCTAGTGGCACTGAGTACGGTCATGAAGAACTGACCTCATTTATAGATGGCCAAAAATGCAGAGGCAGTAAGTAGGAATGTTTCGCATCAATACACAATTAAAATGATGAAGCTGAGAGTAAAACTGACTTTACGCTGCATAATTGGGAATACCGTTTTCATTCGCAATCGTATAAAGCAATAAAATGTAAAATGAAAAAGGCACCACACACCAAAAAATCCGAAATGTCCACTGCGAAAGGTGATGACTGTGAATCATGGCATCGCACAGCCCAATTAGATGCAACTCGCTGTAAAAGAAAAAAGAATGATAATTTAAGCATAAGACCTTTGCGAATAATTGAAATGGGAATTTCACCTACTAACTGTAAATCTTTGGAATTAAAAGGAAGCCTTTCTTGTAGAGCAGCCGCAATTTCCAAATTCCCGAGATTAACAGATAACAGTTTATCACCTTTTGTTGGCGATCGTCTCATCTGTTTAGGCGATGTAATTTTGTCATCACTCTCCGACCACCTCCTCTTTCCAATGCTGCCTGCCTCAGTATCATCTTCAGGTCTTGTCTCACCACAAAATACAGATTTCGCATTTTTATCAACTCCAAAAATGCGCTTTGCAAGACGTGACTTGCGAAGCGCTCTCATAGATTCAATTACACGCTCTGGGTCATACAAATGCGGTCGGCCAGTCTCGTCGTCTTTGATTACGGAAAGCCAGGATTCCGGCTGGGAGTAGTCCCCGTTTCGACCGGGGCGAGGTGCCCAGATCTAGACAGAATAAAGGGCGCATTAAAAGTCTGGAATAGAAGCAGTGACCAGTTTGGTACTTGTCCCAGAGTGTGTTTCTGGAATGCGATTAAAGAAAAGCAACACAATTGAAGTTGCTTTTTACCAGCCGCGAATGCTTCGAGTGAATTTAAGGACCATTTACTTGAGCAAGAAATCTTAAATATTTCAATTAACAATAAAATAAGGTGATTTTTTATCAAGCTCTTTAGCCAAAAGATCTTATTTCCAAGCTCAGTTGCGACAATGATTGAAGCAGCGATAATGATTGCAACCGCAAGACTGGAAATCGATACTCCTACGAGAACAGTGAACACTGCCAAATAAGTCATGGGCATTACGAAGATTGTATTATGACCTATAACAACAAATTCGAGTCACTAGATATCACAAAAGTTCGCAAACATTCATACTCGCCATGAGCGAACTGCTTTTCAACTCACCTCAGTTAGGGGTGGCGATTTTCGTTTAACCACTCATGAACTGATTTTTGTTCAGTGATTTTACTGTCAGTAGTATGCAAAAAAACATACACACAGACGCGTCACAAAAAACGATTCTTTATTGACTCAGGCCTTCATATTCTTTTGTGGATGCAATGCGCCAACACAACTTTTAGGTACGTGACCAAGTAAATACAACCAAGATAATGCAAATATACGGCATGTCACATTTTCAAATGGGGCTACTTCCGAGTAGGTGATATGGTGTACACTGATTTTAATATAAAACCATCTCCTGCAGCGTGTAATACCATTTGCGATGAAGACTATTCCAGTGCTATCTACCGAACTAGGGAAAGCTAAATAACCAACCATAGCACTCAGGTGAGTACTAGAAATGCAATCTTAGCCATATACCTTGAAGTTGTAATCGCAACCAGAGGTGGCGAAGATCGGTAAGGTAGGGTGGGGCTCTAAAACGTTGACGGCTCCGTTGATGTCACCACAAAGCCACTGAACAATGCCTTCCGAGTACCGATCCCAGATGTAGATGAAGCCATCATCACTTCCGCTCATAATGAACTCCGAGCTAGGACCGTAGAAGTTAACACCTTTCACTGTTGCGAGAAAAGACTAAAACGTGTTACTAACGCCACCACAGCTAACCACCATAAGTGCATTACAGATTGGGCGACCACTGGGTGTGGTGGGCTACCATGGTTGGGCTGTGCAGTGCCAATCTCATTAAGCTAACTCATAACCATCATTAGAAAAACAAAACTTTTTCTAAACATTCGGCGTACATCAACACAGTGCTCCCATGAATTGATTGAAATCCCTAAACGACAAAAGACCAAGCACTACGTGCAAATCAAGTCGAAATTGCGAGGGTCAGGAGTGGCCTTGCGTTAGGCCCCATTGAACGTACGTTTAGGTTGTGCCAATAATGTGGTTCTGATGAAGTAAAGGCATTTTCGTGTATCAGTATAGCCAGATAAACTTTGCAAAATATGGTATTACTCATAAAGAAAACATTATTTCCAGGTGGTTACTGAACGGTCTTGCCAGTTCACGGATTTATATGCATACACAATCAAATTTTGAAAGACGTTTTCACTACTTCTGTTTTGGTAATGCAAACAAAAAAATCTCCACATTTCTAAGACATACGCGTTTTATATATACAAGATGCTAGTTAACAGCAACAAAGCGCGAAAAAACGACCATCATTTCATAAGTGTCACTCAGGATAAAATAAAATAAACGATATTTAGCAAATTAATATACTACAAAATGTGCTCTTTTATGGGAAAACATTCAAGGAAAAGACCACAAGCTCAAAGGAGGCTTACAAACCTGTGCTGTTGTTTCGATGTCCTCGATAAGCATGAATAGGCGGAAGACTGTCATTTCGGGAGTTAAATAGGTATATATCTTCGTCGTTATACGACGCAAGGATGGCTGTGAGAAGACAAAAAAGACCCAGCGTCACTAAGATATAAAAAGCAAGGTTACCAAAAGAGCATGCTATACTCTATAAGAAAACGGTACAGGAAATTCAAAATTAATTAAACGCAGGAACACCTGAATAAGTTTCATTGAACTGTCCAAAAAAACAAAACCAAAAGGAGGTGCACACTGAAAAGTCGGTACGCTATGGGCGAATCATAATGGAGCATACGAAAAAACATGATTTAACACGTCACAAGTATTAAAGGATGAATACCAGTTAATCGGCAGATTCTAAAAGACGGGTCTAAAATGAATATTTTAAACTAAATCGAACAGGGGGCAACAACTGATTCGCATTAGGAGCACGTAGAACTACGAGGGTGCAATACAAAAGAACACACTTGACCTGCACAGTATAAATCAGTGTAATAAAGGTACACTAACCATCTCCATTAGCGCTATATATGGCTGCAGTGACACTAAATTTAGTTTGCGCATGGTCATCAAGGGGATTGAGTCGAGCACTTAAGTTGACTCTCCGATGTCGTCTTGGAAGGCCTTCATTCAGATTACTACTGTCTGAAGATTCTTCCCCTTCCTGAGAAGAGGAGGCCAGTCGGTTGCGCCGTCGCAGGTCTTCCCGCAAGATGCTTAATATCTGCCGGCCTAGACGTGACGAGAGCAGTCCACCCTCGATTTCATCATCTTCGTCACCCTCTTCATCGTCATCCGCATCTTCGTCATCCATGCCGATCACTTCACGATCACTGTCCTCTGCTTCCGCTTGTTCCGACTGCCGTTGATTATGTTGCGATTTCGCCTTTAGGTGGAAAGGGGCGAAGGAATGGAGATAGCCCTCCTTGGGGAACGAAGGTGAGAGTCGTCGTCGATCAAATACCCTTCCAAGGAAAATAAGGGGATTCAAACAATGGGAGCAAATCAACCTCAAATCAGAATGGATGTTAAGTCAGAATCCCTCTTAAATGGTCTCTAATAAATGGAAACTCTTTGCATTGATGTTAATGGAATTAATTTCAGACATTAAAGCTGGCGCTGGTTCATTCAACGACAATACGACAACCTCGCCAAGGAAATATACATGGATTATGAGGTGTTCCTTTACAGGAAACATCCTCTGCAATTGTGTTTACACGTTGATATGAGATGATTAATTTTGCTTCCATCTTAATGCATAGAAAAATAATCACCTAAAACTAAGACACGACAAAAGATTCAGGTGTTCAAGAGTTAACACAGATGCTGTGCGTCTGGTCAACGACCATTTTCCTCTCCTACCTGTTTAAGGCTGAACAATATCCACTGGGAATTAAAATTTACTGACGCAGTAACTCCGAACAAAATAATAATCGACAACATCGGTTGACATGAGGTTACTTTAGGACTAGGAACACTCACTAAAATACAACTTTCGCGATCGGAAAGTAGTCGTTAGAAGGCACTCAGGGGTCAGTTGATGGGGTTACCTTAGAGAAGGCGAAGGCCCCTAGTGTAATTGAGTTCTGGGACGAGTTATCCGAAAATTCTTTATATACAATGGTTCAGCAATAATACTGATTTTGGCTGATCAAATGCGTAAATTTAGCATGGGCACTGAGACTAGGTGCACAAGTGAGACCCTGGCATTGGTCCTGTTAAAAGCACCACAAAGTGAGTCTCACCTGACAACCGATTCATATTTTCCTGAAACACAGAATTCCGCTGGTCGGACTGGATTGGTTGAGATAGAGTAGAAAGATGACAATGGCAAATGAAGTATTCTGAGAAGGAAAAGGATTATGAATGTGAATTGGCATAATTTCGTTAAAACTAGCCTATATCATAGATCAAAGTGATCTAAAAGTTTGGTAGTTAATATAGACCAGCCGGAGAGACCACTTGAGCTACTTTTTGAGGATTTAATACCTCTTCGACAGTAAGAAGGGTCGAATACGGCTTAACCATGCACAAATCTACTAGTTTAATACCCCACCGAATATAAAAACAACTAAGAAACGGTGTAATATAAACAATGTAGCTATTCTAAAAAGCGGTCGGTAAATCAACAACAATGATTTGGCGTTGAGGGAACAGTAAAATTCGGCCTGATGGCACCACGGTCAATTTTACAACTTGGCTGTTCCACATGATCAGATGAAGGAGTTCGTGATAAATAAGGCTTTTGGATACTAGCCTTGCACGTGAAACCTATTTTAATAATGAATTTCCTGACTACGGGTCCTCGAAATGCAGTAAATCGCCTCTTTCGACGACTCAAAGCGGGTTGCAGTAAAATTACATTAAGTTAACTGAAACCACCTCTACGTCTTGCTGCTTCTAATTTTTGTTCTCTACATCTCCATAGGGAGTTGTACAAACTGGTAGCCTTCCTGGCATTGCAGCCCCGTTTACGACTACCTTGATTGCGTTCAGTCTTCTCCTGTAGACATTTTTTGGACTCGATTGACGATTTTAAATCAGCGAAAAAATAAACAGCGAATGAATATTGGGGAAGCAACAATATACGACATTTTGACTAGTGGAAGGTCATTTTGAAGTAAAACATTTAGATCCACTTCTAGATTTGCAAAAAACATACTTATTAGCGCGACACTCGCGCAGATCAATGGAAAATACGCAGCCATCTTCGCCAGCAGTTAGGAAGACTGAAGGTGCATCAGCAATAGTGGCAATTTTGTGGCAGGCATCATCGTGTTTCGCAAGACAACGGGTCGTTATCATCGACCGACCATCTGGATGGAGCATGGCCAGCCGGACCATTCCATCACGTGCAGATGAAACAATCTGCAGATCGTCGGTCTCTGGTACAAACTTAACCTACGCATTAAAAAATGCAGAATATATTTAGGAAAAAGTACAGAAATAGTGCATTTTACGCTTCTATAAATGAGTAAGGACGGCTTTAGATTTTTACTTTAAATAGGATACAACAAAGCCACCATTTCTAAGAACCGGTGCTAAGTTAAAAAAAATTGGCGCTTCCCACTTACTTGACGATGAAAAGGTCAATTAAACGAATCCTAAGTTAACTTAAGTTCATTTTCGAAGGGTTTACATGTTTGTGCGACTTCCTAATTTCAATGCACAATTAGATCCACGTTCAATTATACAGTAGCAATAGGTAACTAGAGTGACCAAACCAAAGATACGACATCCAGTTAAGATTTCAACGTATTTAACGCTGTCAAGGCAGTAAAAATAGATTTCCAAGTAAACGAATAAATGGAATTGGCACATTTCGACAGATCAAATGACCACATGCAACGAGAATACAAATATGTTCTTTCAATAAGTAGGAGTAAAATCAAGGTCGGTTCAATTTCGCTAAATGGCCATTTTAGTTGAATGGCCATATATTTCAGCAAGGCAAATGACTATATTAATAAGATACGGTAACGCGGTGGCAGTTTATTGTCCATTAATATGTCCACATGCAGATGCCGAGCGCATTCAATTGCGAATGACCAATTATGCTATAGTTCTCTTCTTTAGTAATAAATGGAAAAATACGTGAAAATTTGGATTAATTTTATTACATGAAAGTATGATTATGTAGTTCGTATGTACAAATGTGGTTGATTACATAGTTTCAGAATAAAAATTACTTGCACAGGTTCGGGATTTTAGGTTAATGTGGAACTATTAGAAGGGTTTGAATGTATACAGACATTTAGATGCCCATTAGTAACACAAAGGGAACTAGACAAAATCAGTTTTGGCAAGTTACCACAGCTCGACCATCGAAAGGAAATTGGGTTTTGAACGACCAGGTTCTACAGTGGTCCAGATGTACTAAAAATTTAACGTGGATTAATGAAATCCAACCTGATCGACCCAAACAACTATAAACCTATACTTCTGACTAACGTTCAATGGTTGTATTAACCTCCTTTCGACAATAGAGATAACATTAAAGCCAGCATTAAAAAAGACGATAAAACTATATCAAACATACCTGAAACACGTTCAACTTATGCCCAGAATGAAACCGGGTTATGAGTTTGCCGGAATAGAAATCTGTCACAGCCACACGTTGATCATCGGATCCAGAAGCAATTAAGTGTCCTGAATGGCTGAAATTCAATGCGTTCACGCAGCCTGAGTGGTGCTTAAATGGACGAAAGGAATACTTTGCGTAAAATAAGGCAAACGGATGGCAGCCTTAAGTTTTTTTGGAACAAATCTTGAATTGTGAGATACGTTTTTGAATAAATCGAGTCGCGCTTCGGGACACACAGGTCACCAATGTTCAAAATTTAATTGGAAAAACTTATCCAAACTAAGAATGTTTAGAGATTGACATGTCCCGGCACTTTAAAATTTTATTTTTTTTGTTCAAACCTAGAATCAAGCAGGAAAAACTGTAGGCAACTGAAAACAATAGCTGGCTGTGCACAACGAGTGAAGACGACATCCGATTGCATTATGTGAATTCACTTGCCTGATTAACAGCATCAAGTCCGAACGACGACACAGACCAAAGGTTTGCCTGGATATTCTGATGGAAACTTTGGTTTGCAGGCCACCTGACACGTTCGTTACAAACTCCACTGTAGGAAAAGTAACTTGTGAAGAAATTACGCAGGCGAAAAGATCTTGAAGAAAAGCCAAAATCGCCCTGTTCTCTTGCCATTATTAATGACGAGGGGGAAAAGTGCGCCGGAAGAGCCGGTTGAAAGTACTTATCATCCAGTTCGGATTCGTGCGTGTTCCTGCAGTCATGTCTGCGGTCAAGGCCCGGGGTATATGGTGTAAACGAGTATTTTTCCCCAATATCGAGAGCACTACCGATCCTCAAGTCAGACGTCAGTTTTTTCTGAGAAGTGCAAGATAAAAAAACGAATAAGAATCCGAACCGAAGAGAAAAGCCATAAAAAAGGTACGTTGAACGCCATCGACAACCATATCTCCGCCCTAAGTGCAAAGAAAACCAAGAGTGCACAGCACTTACACGCATAAATATACAGAGTGGAATTTATTACGACATCCAGCATTCGACATTTTAACAATAAACGCAGTTTAAATCCTTGCAAGTAAACCAGACAGCTATCTGCAAGAAGTAGGTAGGCAAAAAAAAGATCCGAAAAGATGGGGACGACCATACATCACAAAAAATCACAAAGTCTAATTGATGAATAGCATATATCAGGGGCGTAAAACGTGGGGTCAGCTGATACCACTAGTGTTTCAATAAGCTTTCTTAAAGTAATCAAAAATAAGTAGTAACCCGAACCCATTCATAAAACATTAGACTTGACGAGTAACATTCGAGCTTTACCCTAGAATCAGAACTATTACCTTTGCAACCAACAGCACCTTAAGACAAAAAAGTGGTTTCACAAAAACCCTGGGTTAACATTTTCCAATCTTTCGATGGCTTCCTCGTTTACACAGAATTGGAGGCTCGGGGACCGAACATTGGTGCCAAATTCGCCCTCTAAGTTAATCGGCCTGTGAGCAGCCTAGCATGTTTGCCTAAAAAGCCTACGAATACTCTTAAATACGATTAATGAAAGAATACGCCGTTCATAAATGCAAATGATAAAGGCCTTTCCCCAATACATAGGAATCAGTTACAATGAAGTTGTATTGTCTGACGAGCCAAAAAATAGTCAAAAATCATCCCTTAGGAAAGGTTTGGCTGCCAAAAACTACGCCAAGTACCCGACGAGCACCCGTGACGTTTGCTCAAATGTGTTGAAAACGTGACGCATTCTAGAATGCAAGCATCAAAACCCGTTTAAACCACAGTTACACACAAAAATCAATGTCGGGTGACAGCCACCTTACTACAACATACCTTGATATGTTCACATTCACTTTTGGTCACATGCGCGGAAAGTCTAGAAGCTAGGAGAACTAATGTCAGTCACTAATTACAAATGAATATAAATTACATGGAGTGAGATAGGTAAATGGTGCCTCATCAACCGAAACATCAGAAGCGCCTAAAGCGGACTTAAACCCCGATAAATCAAGCTTACTCTCAATCGATGAACTATTGTCCGATTCCATTTGCCGTGTAATTGCGGTACAGTTAA